AGAGAGAGAGAGAGAGAGAGAGAGAGATAGAAAGAGAGAGAGAGAGAGAGAGAGAGAGAGAGATAGAAAGAGAGATGGGTGGAGTGGATCAGACACATAGTACAAAGGTAGGTTGAAGGAAGGGTAGATGGACAAGGTTACCAGAAAACGTAAACATCTTGTGAGCGTGTCTTACCTGCACAACCAAACTACTGTAACCAAAGCGACAATCAGCAGGACGATGACTATGACCAGTCCAATGATAGCACCTACAGGAATGCCATCACTGACACCTGAGGGACGAAAGAGAAACTCAAATCGATGACCGATGCCAAATCTATTTTGGGGGTGCTGTACACGTTAGGCTGACCACTATATACAGTACTGTTTTTCAGTGTACTAAGGGAAAGAGTCTAAATATTTACGGAATCAGAGATTTCCACACAGATTTCATTTATGCGTGTCTATAATTTGAAGTTCTTTTTTTAAGATATTCGCTTTAATTTTTGTTTCTGTAGCGTGATTGCTTGCTGTAAGAGCTGAGGTACAGGGCGCGGTTTCGAGAAGCGCGGCTTCTGAAGCCCATTTCCCCCGATGGGATGGCATCCACTCTGTCCAGCAAGTTTCCCAATAGACTTCTTTTAGGTGTCAGTTTAATGCAGTTTTCCACAGTTAAACAAGCTGTTCACAATGAATGTATTGGCATATTTACTTCACAGAGTTGACGTTTTAACTGACAATACAATCAATTCGAAAAGCTGGCGGGTCCATGCTCTGTGAAAATTACCGAACGAGCACGAAGACGGTTGAGTAAGGGATTCCAACCTGGGTCATCATCATGGAGTGCCAGCTCTGACGCAGATATTGGCTGTCATAGTTCGCTGCATAATACTGTTTCTGCTCGGATGCTCTCTAAAAGCATATAATAAAATTGTCTTTGCCTTTCCCAGCTACCCATCTGTTAATGTTCTCTAGGTAAGTTGTTCTTGGTCCACTCCGGCCTTTTTGGTCTTCTATTTTTCCAGCGAAAGCAAGATGTTTAAGGCATTCATGTCTAGTCAATTTCAAATGTCCCAGAAACCGATGTGCCTATCTGTTTGTTGTTGTTGTTGTTGTTGTTGTTGTTGTTGTTGTTGTTGTTGTTGTTGTTGTGTGTGTGTGTGTGGTAGCCTATCCTTTTGAAATGTTTGGAGCCCCGAAGAGCGTGCTCTTTGCCAGGGCCACCGCCTCTCTTGGGTAGCGGGTGAGGCAGTCCAACCTCCCAGAATCCTCCCCAAAGAGATGCCACCGCTGGACCTCCGTGGCGGGGCATCTCTGCAGCCAGCGCTCCAAATCCTGGGGCTCCTCGCTGCACAATGGACAGATTGGGTCCGATGTTTTGTCTATTCTATTTTTGTAGGCCCGCAGCCCAGAGAAGTGACCGGTCCTGATTTTTGCCAGTAGTGACTGGTCACTGCGGGATTTAATTTGAGCCTCTCGTTTTAAAGAAATTGCCCTGTATATTTCCTTCGCCCGCGTGTGGGATATCAGAGGGTCTTTTGTGATGATTTTTATCATTTTCATATATAATTTGGCGGCCTGGACCCGGCAGCACTGTTGCCAGTTTGGCATTACTGTCAGCGAGATCATTGCCGAGGATATTGCAGTGACCAGGGATACACTGAATAGTGGGTTGGGTGTTGCATTATTTATGCGTACCGTTGTCGCATTTGGTCGAGAGATGGTGATGTTCCCACTATTGCCATGCATAGCGATTGACTGTCAGTGAAGATAGCGACCGAGTTGGATGCATCGCACGCATTGTCGATCCAGTCTATGGCCATTTCCAAGGCTCTCCTCTCTTCCTCGAAAGAACACGTGAATATAGCGCCTTTCTCTCTCAACGTCTCGACAACGGTCGGGTTGGACGGGTACCCCGTTGTGATGACGACCCCACCACCGCCATCCGTTGTTCCTGCACTAGCCGAGCCGTCAGTGTAGATATTGTACTGTGCGCCAAGCTCTCGTGCTAGACGAAGAGCAGCGCTTCGGATCTTCGCACTGGAGTAACTCCTTCCGCTTATGCCGTACAGGTGGGGGAAGCGATGTCGGGGTTGATTCCCCGTTCCCACGGCCTTATTTCGAAATAAGTAATGGACCCCCTCTCGCAGTTGAACAGATGTGGGCTCTTTTTGCTAGCGTCTTCGGCCCTTTTTCGGAAATCTCTGCGTCCCTTTAGGCGTCTGTGCACCTGTTCCGTTACCCGCAATTTGTTGTTGTTGTTTGTTGTTGTTGTTGTTATTGTTTGTTCTTGCTGTTGTTGTTTTTCAAAGAAAGTAAAAATAACAAAAATAAATAACTTAAGACTAATAGCCTTAACATACGAATTTATAGAATGTCTAGAAAAAATTGTGCTAAAAAGGAAGCAAAAACCTATTTTGATCAAATTTGCGGACGATTCAACTAATATAATTGGGCTCATTCAGGCTGAACATGACGAAACTGCTTACTGGAATTTTATATTTAAGTTTTCTGAGAGGTGTGAAACTCATAAGCTGCTTTTAAATATGACCCCCCCCCACGGAACTTATTGCTGGCTTTAGAAAAAAGAAATTGCCCCTGCAGCCACTCGAAAATAAAATCGAAAATGTCGAGCAAGTGTCAGATTATAAGTACATATATTTCGTCCTTCCAGGTCCATTTGACTTCTTTGCCTGAGATCCTCACTTGAAGGTCAATATCTTTTCATCACCGAAGTAACTTACATTGTGGCTAGCAGATTGCTGACGTGATCAAAACAGCACAAATAATCAACAGCCATGAAAGTGACTCACGCTCGGAGCACGTCACTCCCTCGTAACCGTCCAGGCAACCGTAGAGACATGCCCCAGACTCGGGATGGCATCGCCTGGGTGTGTCACTGGCACTGCTGCTGGCTTTGAATAGGCACGAGGGGCTACAAGTTTTGGAGCAGTTGAGACCATAAGTGTTGCATTGGCATTCTGAAACAACAGGGCGAATCAATTGACCGAAGAAATGGTGAAATGTTTAGGGGAGGAACAAATCGTTGAATGACGAATAAGCTCAACGATAGAATTGATCTAGAAAATCATTATAAACACTTTCCTGATTTCTTGTTTGCAGAAGTGTCTGTGTTATTGTTTTCGTGAATAAATCGCTGGATAAATGGTTTTTAACTCGGAGGAATGAGTAGTATTCAGATTGTACCAAGCCTTTAAAGCAAAGTAAATTTTGCAAATGTTCATTAAAACTCTGCTGGAATGTAACTGTGAAAGAAAAAGCTAAACCACATCTAGGCCTACCCTTTTGTCTCCCCCTCTCTATCACAGACTCTTTCTTCCTTTCTTTCTATATTTCTTTCATTTTCTCTCCACCTTTCTTTGCTTTTCTCACTCTCTCACCCTTTCTCTCTCTCTCTCTCTCTCTCTCTCTCTCTCTCTCTCTCTCTCTCTCTCTTTCATTTCCTCTTTCCACTCTCTTTCTCGCCCTCCTCTCTCTATCTCTCTCTTTATCTTCCCATCACCTTTTCTCCCACTCTTAAACACACAGAGACACATATACACCCTCACATATTATACTCACAAATTGTAAAGAGTTACATTACCATCATTGCCACACATTTACATGCCAACAAATTAACGGTCTATATTATTATTTTATCACTCGATCCATTCACCCATCCATTCACCCATCCATTCACCCATCCATTCACCCATCCATCAACCAATGTGTTTTTTCCCCCCTTTTTATCTCTGTCCTTCTGTAAGTAAATATTTTTGTCTATCTGTTTTCCTATCACTCACGTTGATCACAGAACTGTCCCAGATAGCCAGGGGAACAAACACCTCGACAGTTTCCATCTCGTTTGTCACAAGGGACATCCTGCGAGCACTTTTCACTACACTGGTGCACGCAACGCCTGCCGTAGGTAAAGTCTTCACAGTCTGGGAGGATAAAAATAGCTCATTATATTGACAAGTTATAGCAGTCTAGGTGAAAAATAATAGATCTATTCATTATAGAAAAGGATGTCTAGGATAAGAAAAATAACTCATGATGAAAAAGGTTTTAGCAGACAAGTAAAGGGGGCTCTCGTGGCCTATAGAGGTTAAGGTGTTGGCCTCTCATTCAAAGGTCCCGGGTTCGAATCCGGGTAGTGACTGAAAACTTTTAATCTCTAAATTTGTCTCCTTTCACCTTCTTTCCTGCTCTCTAGCAATGTTCTGTCGTCTGCTTCAGTCTCCTCTTTCTGCCCCCACTCCCTCATCTCCTTTGCCCTCCTCCTCTGGGCTCCTGATTCTTTCTATAGCCTTTCTACTGCTACTCTTTGGCTCCTTCTTACTGCTGTCTTTCAGCCACACCCTTAATCTTCTGGTAGGGAAGGTCTACACCTAGGACAAGGGCGAAAAATCTTGCAGGGCCCGTGTGCAAGTTGCACACGTTAAAGATCCCCTGGTGGTCTAAAATCGATAAGAGTAGGCTTCGGCCGCCACCCGGGCAAAATTCAAAATTTCCTACCAACTGGAAAAGTTTAATGTGTCCCGCGCGCTCATATTACCTTATGCAGTTGCGAGCGCCGTAAAACACTTACAAAAACAAAAGACTAGGAGAGGAAAATAACATTGTGGAAAAAATAGCTCATAATAGAAACCGTTCGGAGACAAAAGAAAAGACCAATATAGAAAAAAGTTTCCTCAGTCGGTGAAGATAGACAAAAAAATTACTCATTGTTAAAAGGAAAACTTCGGGTTGGATAAAAACATCTTTTATAGAAAAAGTTGACCGGCGTCTGTGGTTTAGCCGTAAGGCGCCTAGCTATCTCCTGCAGGAGATTCGAGTTCGATTCCCGAGTGGGCAGAACATTTTTATTTTCTGAGTATCTCAGTCTTTGAGCTGGGATGTATCCCTTCTAGCCCAAGTTGACCCTGCCAGGCAGCATGGAAAGTCCGCCTCCTTAATGGTTTAAATTGTGTCGATTAGGGCGCAAAACATCTAAATTATAAGAAAAGGCCTTGGCAGTCTGAGAAAAAAAAACCCCTCATGACACAAAACGCCTCTGCCGACCGGGAGAACTTAACTTACTTTTCATTTCCGATCCAGCGGCCATCTGGGTTCTAGCCCTTCGGCCTGTCGATATGGCAAAGAATTTACAGGTTTTTATCAGCTGTGTTTTATTGTTGTATGAAGTATTTCCGATATCTGGGGAGGCAGATAGGCAGGTGCTATGAAGGTCGCTAAGTGCACGACAGGAAAAGAGATTGTGTGATACTGTTTCATCCTGGCAGTCACAAAGCGGGCCGTCAGGTGGGGTATCCTTGTGGATTCTACTTAGCTAGGAATTAAATGGGATGTGTTGTGTTCGCAGGCGAAAGATAGCGACTTGTTCTCTTCTACTCAGGGAGTTTAGTGCTTCTTTTGAGTTGGGAGCAGTCATGTTTGCAAATTAGGCTCTGCCAGTGCCAGTTTTGCCCATTGCCCATCCATTCATCCACTGTTCCCTGGTGTTGCATTTGATGATGTTCTTGACCGTCTGTTGTGATACTGGGTTTCACTTTTTTCTTCCCGAGAAACTAACCTATTTCTCGCAGGGACCGGTATCGGTCCCGAGAAGTGCTTCTCGTCTCGTGACCTAATTTTCTTTTCGCGCTGTTGGAAGAGCAGCTCGCTTAGCGAGAAGGCGGCCGTGTCCGGGATCTAGACTAGGCTAGCCCTGTCGCGCCTGCAAAAGCGGTGAAGGAAGGTAGGGAGACCTAGGCCTAGGCCACGGAGGTTATACGGTAAGGTACTTGGCCTTGGCCTGAGCCCTGAGCCCCAATCGCCTCGCCACCCTCTCCACTCTCTTTCAGTTTCAGACACAGGACGGCACGGACTGCCTGCGTGTCATTTCTCGCTGGCTGAGCTCCTCTTTCCGTCGACACCTCTAACTCTTGTTACTCGTGAGTCAAGCCAACGAGCGGTATCACTTCTCGGTGCTGGCCAGTAGTTTAGTGGCTGCGCAGTGACGGGAAGGGAATTTCTCGCCAGAAACGAGCATTGAGCTCTTCTCGTGCCCGCTCCTAGTTTTGAGGTTGTGTTTGTGAAGCTCCCTTCTAGGCAAGGGTGTCTGCTCCGTCGTTTTGTGGGATGTTGCTGTGGCCAGGTATCCACTATAAAGTCAGGTCGACGGCATAGGTCTGCATGAAAGGGTTAATTGTTTGAGCCACAGATAGGGGGGCTGGGCTTTCGAAATTCATGTTTTTCAAAGCTTGGAGTACCGATTTTCCATCTGTGAAGATTACATTGTCCTTGATTTTGTCTGGATATATAGTGAAAATGCTGGTCAGTTGGAGGATTGCTGCTTCAATGGCGATCGCCTCAGCCTCATAATTTGTACAAGAAGTACCAAAGGCATAAAACTGTTCTTCACACGTCTTGTCAGGATGTTTTATTTTTACGCTAAAGCTTACATAAACTGTTCCCTTGACGGCTGACCCATCAATGTAAATATGGATGGAATAACTAGGGTAGGAGTCAATTGTTTTGAGAGCTGTGTTCTTCAGCTCTACTGGGTCATATTCCTTTTTCACTGTCTACTTTATGAGGGAAGTTTTGAAGTAGGCGTTCTTGATGTTGGTGTTTGGGGGGGGGGGGGGTTCTGGTCTTAACGGTTTCAGCATTTCTCTGTGGTATTTTTCTACTTAATCACCGCCTGTATCGAGTATTGATCTTCCATGGATTCGTTTCTTTGGTCGTCTCTGTTCAATGATCGTTCTGTTTGGGAGGTTTTTGTCTAGTCTCTTGTAGCGCTCACTCATCTCCACAACTGCTGCCTCTCTCCGCAGATCCAAATGTTCCAGGTTTGTGAGGATTTCGCAAGTTGCAGTTGGAGTGGATCTCAAAACTCATGAGATAAATCGTACCGCTTGATTCTGAATTTTGTCAAGAGACCTCTGAGTTGGTTTGCTGCAGATTGTCTGTAAGGTTAGGTTATATTCCATGGCAGAGCGTACATAGCCAACATATAGCTGTCTGAGTGCATCCTTGTCCGCTCCCCATGAAGTGCTTGCCAGCCGTCTGAGAAGGTTAAGTCTCTTGTTGGCCTTGGTCTTCAGGTTCCAGATATGGTTTTTGCATTGAAACTGCCTGTCCAGCTCGATCCCGAGGTAAGTTGGGTTGTCAACGTTTTCGAGTTTGGTTCCTGCAAGTGAGAAGGTGAGATTTTGCTTTGCAACTTTGTCGCTTTTTGTAAAGACGGTGAAGATTGTCTTGGTACAATTTGCTTTTAGTTTCCACTTGCAGCAGTAGTTGTTGAATGTATCTAGGTCTTCATTTATGAGTCATGCACTGATGCCAGCTGTTTATTTTAATGCAAGATGCCTAGGTCGTCGGCATATAGGGCCTTCTCCAATTTCAGTATCTCAGGCAGGTCGTTGATGAAAACAAGGAAAAGTGGGCAGCTCAGAGAGGAACCCTAGGCTAGGCCCTCCTTCAGTACATCTTTGGATGACTCACCATTGTTCACCCTGTCTGGATTTTCCTGTCTGTAAGGAAGGTTTTCATCCATCTGTAGAGTTTCCGTGGATTCCTGTCTGTGTCATCTTCCACAAGAGGCCTTTTCTCCAAACCTTATCATATGCTTTCTGGAGATCGACAAAGACTGCCACTGTGTGTTTCTTTTCCTGCAAGCCATCAAGGACTCTCTGACTGAGCCTGAACATCTGGTCTTTTGTTGGCTGGCCTGCATGAAATCTTGCCTGGTTGCTGTCCAAGGCACCTGTTTTTTTCCAACCACCAGTATAGGTGGTGATTGACCTTCCTCTCTGCTAGTTTCTCGATGCATGTGGTGAGTGAAATGGGTCGATAGCTTTTAATTTCTTCAGCAAGTTTTCCTTTCTTAAGTATAGGGGTGATGATGGCATTTTTCCAAGCTCTGGGGATGGTGTTTTTATTTCACGTCTTGTTGATAAGCTGGAGGTTAGTACCCTTACCAACGGGACTGAGGTTGACAAGCATTTCATTGTGGATCTTATCTGGTCCTGGGGATTTGCGAGGCTTCAGTTTCTTCATTGCTCTGTTGAGCTCAGTGAGTGTGAAGTCATCTTCAAAGAGAGAGATACTTGCACGTGGCGCATGCTCTTTCTTCTTCAGTTTTTTTCAGACAGTCTTATGCTGGTCAGTGTGAGGTGTGGGACCGTGAGAACTAAAATCTAAAAACTTTAAATTGTACAGAAGAGTTTCACTGACGCTCAGACCAGGTCTCACTGAAAGCTCTCACAGACCGCCTAGTCTACGTCAATAGTCTCATCCGAATTGGTATTTCATTCATAAAAACAAACAAGAGAGCAGGATTGGACAGACAGAAAAAAGACATAGAGAGAAAGAGAGAGAAAAAAAGACAGAGACTGACAGTTTCGGGGAGAGAAGGAGGGAGAATGAGCGGTAGAGAGAAAAGGGAGTGAGAGAGGGGGAAGAGACAGGGAGAAGAAAGAAGAGGGTCAAGAGGTAGAGATGGAACGGTATGACTAGCATATGAATGGTTAAACTTTGCACTTCAGGGCCAAAACTTATATAATGAAATGCTACATACTATCAACAAGTCTGAGACACTTAATGAAACATTTTTCCCAATAGAGAATTCCATCTCTAGTCTGACCTGCAAGAATGAAATTTGGGTATGTAACCTTTCTAATACAACACATCTGGTTCACCCCGAGAAGACAACTAGGCACAATCTATAACAAAAAGGAAGTGCAAAAAACTTGAAATCATAATATAGAAATAGAACACACCGTGTTCACAGAAATGTCCTCCCTTCCCAGGTTGGCAGTCGTCACATGCCCCATTGACGTGGTGGCACAACTGGTCTACACATCGAACATCACAGGCTTCCTTGCAGTCTTCACCCCATGTCCTTAATGAACATTCTGAATGAAACAAAAGTGAGAAACCGTTGAATGGATGGCAATAAAGAAAGGAAAAAGTAAATGAAGGATTGGAGGGATTAATTAGTCCACCAATAATTAAAATTTATAAATTAAAATTTGTTTTTATGGAGAAATGAATGAATATACCGGCGATAAAAAAACACTTTTTACCCGTGCAAAAATTTGTTAAGAGTCTTTACGCTTTTGCATTCATGTGAGTAATACTAAGTACTCCAAAGAATACGTCATGCCGTCTCTCTCTCTCTCTCTCTCTCTCTCTCTCTCTCTCTCTCTCTT